CCAGTTGTTAATTTCTTCCCTGTTATATTACCTAATGCATAGATATCCTAGCTATTTACATGTTGTTTTCCCATTAGAACATATACTTCCTGAGGACAGGGATTTTGCATGAATTTTGCCTTTCTTTGTATCTACAGTGTTTAGTACAGTGTCTGATAGTAAACATTTAACAATTGCTTATGAGTGTCTTATGAGTTTCCATACCAGAATGTAATGAATTTCATAGCACACAAGACTAATCCCTGAGGATTAATCAGGACCATTCTGGTTTATCTGATAAAAATTCTTGCATCACATTGTTAAATGTAAGTGTCTATGGTGTTACTTCATTAAGAGAACACTCCATCTATTGCTCTTTTCTAGAGTAGCGGAATTTTAATAAGAAGCTCGTTATTTGAGCTCTTCCAGAAAAGTCAATAATTCTTGATACTATGACATGTACATATGTATACAGTGATCATTTGGAGAATTTCAAGACTTGAAGCTCTAGAATTTTCATTCATTCTTCTTTTAGCATCTTTCATCCCCACTGTTATTTACTTTAGTTGCCTTCCTAAACCATTCTTATGTCTCCATCTCCAGAGGGGAAATGGAGATATTTGTTATTTCTACTAAAAGAACTTGGAAGGGACTTTATTAAAAATACAAGTGTAGATTAGATTCATAGAGCTGTAAAGTATCTTAAGTATAATCAAGTAACGTGCCCTTATTTTACACAAGGAGCTGGTGAACTATGAAAAAGCCCATAGCCAGTGGTTGGCTGACTTCAGATTCCTGTTTTGAGGCTATAATAGCTATTCTTTTTTGTTTCTTGGGCATTAAACTTTTTTTGAAATTCAAGACCTTTTGCCTCACAGTAATTTTGGTCGTAATAAATGCAAAAGTCATTTCTTTAGATCCATTTAAATTAGACAAAAAAAAGTCTAGGATACATATGCTGGAATCAGGGGGATTCAGATCCTATCCCAAATCACATTGAAAATGATAAATGGTGAGGAATTCTTCCCCCCCCCCTTAAATAGCCAGTTGCTTGCCTTTTTTTAATCACTCATGGTATTTAGACCTTGAGACCTCTTCATGGGAAAAAACCCTGGACGTAATTTTTTTTTCAAGATGGGGGAAACTGAAGCTGAGAGAAGATAAATAACTTTATCTGTTCGTCACCCAGTTAAGATGAAGAAGTAGGTAGATTCCACTTACTCCAGATCCAGTATTCTTATATAATGTGCTGACTTTTTTTCCCCTTGTGTAACAGGTTATGATAATGATGTCAGTATTACAAATTAAAATTTTTAAAATGTTTCAGAAGCTTGGTAGACAATGGGACGCTTGAAGGCACAGAATCAAACCTTACTAAGCCTGCATTTGCCAAAGTATAGACTTTTTTTCTGATAACTGATGCTTTTTCCCTTTCAGTGCCATTATTGTTTTATTTTGGTAATTTTTGTAGGATTTCTTATAAAAGGTATCCTATAATTTCCTACCTTCTTGAACAGAGTAACAGAAACGAATTCAAGGTCATCAGGGATATCATTATGAATATCCATTATTGTATTATGCAGTAATACAGTTTTGTGTTTGCTTTCTAATTTTTTTCCTGCCTCTGCCCTTAATGTAAGGCTGCCAGCTCTCATTACTTCTTGGGTAATTGTACCTACTTTTATGGCAGTTGCTTGGCTGCCCCTGTCCTTCTTGGTTGCTATTTCTAATCTGCTATAGACTTGAGAACCAGATCTTCAAACTTAACAACTGTTATGTTAAATCAGCATCAATAAAGCACTGAAGTGAGAACTCCAGAAAGAGAATGTCTAGATTTAATAAAGACAGTTGAAAATTCTATATGTAGGGTTATAGTCTAAGGTATTGAGGATATTGGAATGATAGAATGTTCTGTTTCTTCTTTTTTAGCTAATTTTGAGCTAAACCTCAGGTTTGATACTTAGCTTTTTTGTTAAAGACTTATGTTTTTATGTTGAAACAAATTATTTACATCACTTAAGATCTAAAACAGTACAGATGTTTGTGGGGGTTTTTTTCTTAGAAAAATGTATTGACATGGATGACTAACAATTAAAAATCTTGTTTTCACTATACTGACATAATATTATGAGAAATGTTCTGCAGGAAACTTGTGCTGATACATTTCTCCAATCTGTATACTTCAATAACATTCATGTAGATCGATACAGTAAACTGTTTTGACTCTATGGAGAACAAATAATAATAGCTAATAAATTAATAAATAAATATACACACATAGATACAAACATGTATACATGTACATATATATGAGACCAACAGAGAGAACTTTGAAGGTTTATAAGCACTTTATAAATATTATCTCATTTTTACCTTTAGAACAACTCAAGGAGATAGGTGCTATTATTATCCCCATTTTATGGATGAGGAAACTAAGGTACAGGAAACTTATATTATTTGCCTAGTTTTGCACAGCTAGTAAGTGTCTGAGGCTGGCTTTGGACTTAGGACATTCTGATTCCAAATTCAACAGTCTATCAACTCTGCTACCATTCATATGGAATTCTAGTAATGAAGTAACTACTAAGAAATATTGACAGTTATATAGCACAAATTCCTAACAGAAATGGTAGATTATCAGGAATATATTATGAGCATATAAATGCTGTTGCTCAAGATGAAATAATGTTACTAAACTTGACATCATCATCTATGCATGTGGTTTCTTGAATTTATCATGTATCTACTTACCTTTTTATATTCTGTACCTGCTTTGTAGAATGTAAATTCCTTTGAGACAGGAAGTATTTTTTTTCATTTTATCTTTGCATTACCAATATCAGTGCATTAGACACTTAAATATTGCTTAGACACACAATGTAGACACTTAAGTACTGCTTCCTAGATTTCAATGAATTGTATTGCATTCTTTAATTTTCAGAATATAAGAAAAAGGTGAGAATGCTGAAGGCTACTAAAAAATTGTGGACCTCGTTAAAATAAAAAGAAATTAAACATGAAGCTAATCTATATTATGATCAAGGGCATCCTAGATGATTAGCATGTGATATCATATATCTGTATAATCATAGAATTGGCTGGAATTTGTAGAGAATATAAAAGCTCATTGTTGAGTTAGAAAAATTGATTTGATGTGGCAAAACGTCACCTTAGAGGCTCTTCTCTATCATATTCCATATTTATTAAAGTCCTTAACAATTTCTTGAAAGATATAACATCATAAGTAATGTTGATCCGCTCTCTGATTATTCATATCAAATGAGGCATAAAACAGTGAGACATGTTCACCAAAGGTGTTGGCCACTATCATAGAAGATAGGTAATGGAGAGTTCAGGTAGAAGTGGTAATTCATAGAGATGCTGACTGAGATTTTTGGTTTGTTTTTTTTTCTTTTGGCTAGGCAATGGGGTTAAGTGACTTGCCCAGGGTCACACAGCTAGTATGTGTTATGTGTCTGAGGCCGGATTTGAACTCAGGTCCTCCTGAATCCAGGGCCGATGCTCTATCCACTGCGCCATCTAGCTGCCCGAAACCTCTTTTTTTTTTTAAAGATAATTGGGGTTAAGTGACTTGCCCAGGGTCACACAGCTAGTAAGTGTGTCAAGCGTTTGGTCTGAGGCCAGATTTGAACTCAGGTACTCCTGACTTTAGGGCAAGTGCTCTATGCACTGTGCCACCTAGCTGCCCTGACTGAGATTTTTAAGATACTGTTATTTTCTGGTGACATCATGGTGGTTGCATCAAATTCTAGCATGTTTCAGCACATCTCAAATGAGAGCAGTGATTTAGACATAGTGAAAATTAGCTCCAAGATTAACTTCTAGTTCCATTTAAACATATTATTTGGTAGTATTTACTATTTGTCAGAAGAAAGAGGGAAACGATGTCAGAAGAGAATGTACATTGAACTTCCTTTGAGAAGGGAAGAAATAGAGGGAAATAAAAATAATTCTAATTCTGCTTATGAATATTTTTAATATGCCATTTGCTAATTAAAGATATTTGAATATTTATATTCTATTTCAGATTAATTTGGGATTGAGGATGATTCATGGATTTTCCAATTTAAAGTATATAGCAATGTAACAATTTTGGAAATTAGATTGAAAATAATTTCATCTCCAATATTCTCATTAACATTTTGTTGAATTGTATTTCCTGGGCAGCTTCCAATGGCATTCTTTTCTAAATTATTAATTGCTAAGGACTCATTTTCTTTCCTACATGAGACATTAATGGTTGTGATATCATATTCATTAATTTTGGGGGCTAGTTCTTTCTTTGTCTTACAGGATGCACATGGTTCATAAATGCTTAAAATTTAAGAGATACTTTTCAAGCGCACAAAGGAGAATTCCTTTTCTCTTAGCAATGATGGTATTTTCATAGTGGTCCTTCACCATTGTTTCGCATATATTCCACCAACCTAGCTCAACATAATTGTAAATGGAACCATGATATATAGTTCCATTTATGTTTTAGGTAATAATAAAGAAATTAAATTGAATACTTTTCAGGAATTTATTATGAACTTAATATTCAGCATCAGTACTTTAAAACTATCTGTTAATTGATTTCACTTAAAAATTTATTCGTTGACATGCTATTGTATTAGAAATGTCTCACTATTTACTTCGACTCACCTTCGGATGTGTTTAAGTTGGAAGTACTTTGAATTTGGGTTTCTTTTTTTCATATTGCATTATTTCATGAAATCTCTAAATTTTTGTTTCATAATTTTCATACTTATAAGTCTTAATTGTATTATAGTGCTCCATTATATTAGTGTGCCTTCTGTTTCCTTTTTTAAAAAAAATTGGATACTTAAGTTGCTTCCATTTTTTTTTGGTATTACATTTAGCAATGCTATAATTAATTTGAACAGATAGCTTTTTTTTTGATAATTAGGTATATTCCCAATAATACATCAAATGAAAATGAGTTTTAGAGGAATTTTTTTTAGGTTTTTAAGTGATCTGAGATCTCTTTTCTTGTGCAGATAATACATATGTTTCGAGTTCAGACAATGATGAAGATGTGCTAGTTACCACTGAGCCAATTCCCATAATTTTCCACCGAATAGCAACAGGTAATATTTTGAAACATATATTTTCTATTTCAGATTAATAATTTCCATTCTGATTCAGAATTTGTCTCCAGTAAAAACAAATTCAGCTGTGAATCTGGCTATAAATCTCTATTTTCTTTCTGGAATTTACAATTTTATAAGTAAATTTATTACATCAAATAAATTTATAAGGAATATCATCTTTACTTTTTGTAATTATTTATGTCTTGTTTGAATTTATAATGATACTTTGGTATTAAAAATTAAAAATTTTTTTGTTGCTTTTGATTGTAGCTTTTTATTAAAAAAATTGAAAAAATCTAAACACCCAATTTATATTCATTTTGAAAACTATGCCAAAGCATATTTAGCTGTAGATATGCAAGTATATACATGTATACTTAAATTTTCAGAAATTTCCATGTTTATGTATTTATTTATATTTACATATGTGTGCATGTCTCCTCTCTTTGAATAGACACACACATATTTGTTGCACATATGTGAGTGTTCATTCATATCCTTGGTATAGTTCAGGAATAAATGTGAGAGAGAGTGTGTGTGTGTGTGTGTGTGTGTGTGTGTGTGTGTGTGTGTACCTTATCTGCATTCCTTTTCCTAAAGAAAGTGACAAATATTTTGATATGACTAGAATTCAAAAATAGGTCAATGTAGACATTTCACTTTGGTTTTATTTTTATGGAAATGTATGGACTCATCAGAAACAACCTATATATCAAATCCCTTTCTAACATGATGCAGTTTAATTTCCTTGCAAAGGAATATGTGTCTGGATGCATTTTTTAATATAGAATTTAAACATAAGTCTAATTAGAGAAAAATAATTGATGTTTAGAATAAAGATTTATTTCATAACCTTAATTAAATTTTCATTTCAGAATTAAAAAAACCCAATGACATTCCGTGTTGTTTATCCATAAAATCAAAATTACAAAAGGAAAATGGAGAGGTAAGTAGGTGGTAATTTACACATTGATTTTTTCCTTTTACCTATGCCTCAATCTGCTTTGCTTATATCTGTTGTTGTACTTAGCGTGTCACGCTATCCTTCATGTTTGTAGGTCTCTTGTTAATTATCTTGGATGCTTTAGGCTTCATTACCTCTTATTCTTTTTTTTTTTTTCAACTACCTTTCTATCTACACAGCATCTCACTTGGTAAATCCTTTATCTCCCATTACCATTATCTGCCTTACCACCTACTAATAATATGGCAGAATCCTCCTTACATGGCCTTCTTTCTCCACTGTATACCAGTTTCAATGCATATTCCAATAATGTTGTTGGAATTGATTTATATTAGGCATGAATCTGGGCATGTTACCCTTCAAAATTCTTTGGAGAATTCCTTAATAAATCTAGTTCAGTCTCTGACATTGTCAGTCAGTGAGCATTTTTAAAGCACCTAAACTATATGCTAGACTGTGCTTAATGCTGAGGATACAAATAAAGGTCAAAAACAATCCCTATTTTTAAGGAGCTTACAGCCTAATGGGGAGACACTAGGCCAGGGGTGAGGAACCTGCTAACTGGAGATTACATGTGGCCCTCTAGGTTCTCAAGTGTGGTCCAAATTTCAGTCAGATGGTTGCACGAGGGCCACATGTGGCCTTGAGCCCCCAGGTTCCCTACCCCTGCACTGGGCAAACAACTTTGTATCAACAAAATATCAGATAAAATAGAGATAATTAGCAGAGGGAATCCACATTAGCATATGATCAACATAGGACTCTTGTAGAGGGTAGTATTTTGTCTGGGACTTGAAAAAAGCCAGAGGCTAAGATAAGGGAGGGAGGAAATTTGAGGCATGTGGAACAATCATTCAAAATGCCCAGATTCAGGAGATGGAGTGTCTTGTTTGAGGAACAGTAAGGAAGCCAATATTCTTGGATCGCAGAGTATATGCCAATGAGTAAGGTATAAGATAATTGGAAAGATCAAGGGTGGGGGACATTTTATGGAGGATTTTGAATATAAAATAGAGGATTTCATATTTAATCCTATAAGCAATAAGGCACCTCTGGAGTTTATTAAATAGGGTGACCCTCCCCAATCTGACATTGCCCTTCCTTGAAAGCTGTCTCACTTTAATCCTCTTTACATACTATTCTTTGGCCAAACTGCACTATTCTACCTTTCCCACACCTATAATAATCTCTGTTCTCTGTGGCTGGAGTCACCTCCATCTCCCTTACCTGTAGAGCTGCTACCCCTCCTTTAAGCCACACAGAAAGGCTGTATTTTCTACAAAGCCTGTCCCAATCCTCCCTGATCAGTACTAATCTTCTCTTTCGGTTTTCACCAGGAGTTAAATTTATTATGTGGATTTGCCTTAACTTGTTTTGCTTATTTGTTATTATCCTCCTTGTTTGTCAGTTCAATGAGGTAGAGACTGTATCTTTTCTAAACCTTGTATTGTTTCCCGTTCGCGGCACTGTCACACTCAGCAAGTTTGTTTAATGATGGGTGGGTAGATTATATAGATGGGGGTGTTTGCAATACTGTTCGTTGGAATGTATTAATGCGTGCATGTGTGTGTGTGTGTGTGTGTGTGTGTGTGTGTGTAGCAGAGACAAATATAGCAGACACTCAGGGACAGGCAGACAGATATATAGAGAGGAGGTTGGGCATAGTGGTTCTGTCAGCTTTGGGGTTAACCTTGTTTTTTGAATTCATCCTCTGATTGTATGTTTATATACAGTCTCTGACCCTTGGCAAGCCCTAGGCAGCTTTCTAAGTCTATAATTTGCAAAGCATATAGACATCTTAGAGTCACCATGTCCAAAATAGAATTCATTATCTCTCTCCCTCCTCCCCACCCCCCAAGCTCTTCTCTCCTCCTAATTTTCCCATTACTGTAGAGGGCACCTCTGTCCTCACAATTACCTAGGCTTATGACCTAGTCTTAATCCTTCACTCCTTACCCTCTCATCCACCCACCCCCAATTCAATCTCTTGCCAAGTCCAGTCATTTTACCTCTTTAACATTTCTATAACACTTCTCCTTCTTTCCTCTGTTGCCATTCCTCCTCCGCGTAGTCCCTTATCCCCTCACACCTCAACTGTTGCAATGCCACTTTGGCTGGTCTCCTAGCCTTCAATCTCTATGTACTGCAGTCCATCTGTTATTAAGCTTTCAAATTAATCTCCAGTATTTCCCTGTAATTTCTAAGATTAAATACTCAGTTCACTTTTTGGCATGGAAAGCCCTTCACGAAGAATCCTTCTTTCCTACCCCACTTTTAGTCTTCTTATAACTTGTTTTCCCTTATATACTCTGTGATCCAGTGATCCTTTGCTGTTCCTTGCAACAAGACATTCCATCTTCTGACTACAACCATTTTCACTGGCTGCCCACCATGTGTGGAATCCTCTCCCTCCTCTGTTTCAGCTCCTTAGTTTCCTTCAAATCTGAACCATATGCTTTAGAAAAATCACTTTAGTAGCTGCATGCAGGTATAGGAATTACTTCTTGTGAAAGGAAATTTGTAAAATTTTCATGGAAGCGTTAGCTTCTGAGGTGGGCTTAGAAAGATGGGAAGAATTCCTTTCTTTAAGAAATAAAGAAAAAAGAATGAGATATATTCTCCTCCCTTCCCCTACATCTTTTCTTCTCTCCCATTGAAAAGAAACTCTTGTGGGGGAAAAAAAACTCATTATGCACAGTCAAGCAAAGTAAATTTTCAGATTGGCCATATGCAGATATGTATGTCTTACTCTGTATGTTGAATTTATCTACTCTATCTGGAGGTTGTTAGCAGGCTTCATCATTGTTCTTCTAGAATAATGGTTGGTCACTGATCTACCAAGCAATTTTTAGGTCCTTCAGACTTGACATAACAATGTTGTTATTATATAAATTGTTCTGCTCCTTTTCCTCGCTTCCCTCCATCAGTTCAGACAAGTCTTCCCAGGTTTCTCTGAAACCATCTCTTTTATAATTTTTTAAGGCACAGTCAAGTCAAGATTTATTAAGTGCTTAATATTTACCTCTTACTGTATTAAGTGCTGAAAATGATCTAAATATGATGCCCATTATGTATGTGAATCCATGCAAAAGTTATTTCCACATAACCATAATCTTCCCTACCACTTCACCTCTCCCCCTGCCAAAGCAAAGAAAATAAAGAAAAAAATACACTGTGTTCTGCAGTCTTTTAAATCACAAGCCCTTTGGAGTTGTCTAGGATCGTTGTATTAATCAGAGTCACTTAATCTTTCACAATTGCGTGTCTTTATAGTATTGCTCAAAGTTTAGATTGTACTCCAGATTCATATCACTTCATTTGCATCTGTACATATATGTTTTCCAAGGCTTTTCTGAAACCAGTCACTTTCTTAATTCTTTTTATAGCCAAATAGTTTTATAGCCATTCCTTAGTTGGTGGGTTTCCAACTCTTAGCCACCCCAAAAAGAGCTATTATATTTTTGTACATCTGAATCCTTTTCCATTTCTTCTGATTTACTTGGGAGAATAAACATAGTGGAAGTATTACTGTGTTAAAGGATATCATAGTTCTATAGCCTTTTGGGTATTGTTCCAAATTGTTCTCCAGAATTGTTCACAACTCCACCGACAGTGTACCTATTTTCCTACATCCCTCTCAGAATTTGCATTTTCCTTTTCCGTTATCTCAGCAAAACTGATGGGTATAAGGAGGTAACTTAGAATTGTTTGAATTGCATTTCTCTAATTATTAGTGGTTAAGAACATTTTTATATGACTTAGTAGCTTTACTTTCTTCATGAAAACTACCTATTCATAAGGGAACTTATATTTTTATGAGGGAAGACTACATATGAAATAAATCTGAAAAGCACTGTTGGATGAAGACTAGGTGGGAGGCAGAAATCCAGTGATTCTGGAGTGGCATGAAGATACAAAACTTGCTGGCCTTAGCCTTTTCTGCACAAAAGAAGTTTTTAGAGGAACTAACTAATCAGAGTAAGGTGTCACAGTATGGAGTCATCTTCCTAGGTGACCAGGCTCCTGGGATGGAATTATCTTTCAGAGAGAGATGGCTGGTGGAAAAAGAAGTCTAAAGAGTGAGGAATGGGTCCAAAAAATAATGAAGGATTGAACCTTGAGCATCTTAGCATTTTCCTTAAAATGGTGGTTCCAGGTCCCATTGAATTCATATAATGTAATTTTTTCAGCCATTCTTCAACTGATGTGCTCTATTTTAGGTTCTAGTTCTTTGCCACTATAGAAAGACCTGATATCAATATTTTGTGTCTGTGGAACCTTTTTCCCCCCCTTTAATTTCCTTGGGGGTATGATACTAATAGTGGCATAGCATCAAAGTATATACATAGATTAGTAACTTTGGGGGCATAGTTCAAGTTTCTTTTCAGAATTCCTCTACCACTTACAGCTTCACCAATAGAGCATTCATGTGTATATTTTCATGCAGCCCCTCCAAAATTTGCATTTTTGGGGGGGTCAACTTGGCCAATCCAGTGCTTTTAATATCTGTCCAAACTAGAAGTTCGTTAGAGGTAATTCCATGATTACAAATCTGAATGTCACAGAAGATGGAATTATTTTTACAATTAATGAATGAGCCAAGAGGAGAAATTAGAGGACAAATTATGAATCAACTCAGAACTTGTTCTACCAGCAGTTCCCTGAACATTAAAGTCCAAATATCAAACAGGTATTTGGAAATGTGGAGTTTAAGAGTAAGTAAGGTCTAGATATGGAGATTTAGGAATCCCTTCTCATTGACCATTGAGGCCATGAAAGTAGATTAAATAGGTAATGGGGGGAATTTAGATTTTGAAAACAAGAGAGCTAAGGACCAGAGTTGGGAATGTTCGACACCTAGGTGGTATAGGAATAGGAATAAAGTAAGGCGCAATTTAAAAGTCAGGAGATCCAGAAAAAAACAAAGTCGTAAGATGCAAATGAGAAAATACCTGGGAGGAGATGTTTGGCAATGATTTCAAGTGCTGCAGAAGGGTTAGGAAATATGAAGGTTTAGAAAAGATTGTTGAATTTAGCTTTAGAAGATTGTTGGTTAATTTGGCAAGAAGTTTTAGTTCTGTGCTGGTCATGGAAAATATTAGGAATTGAGTGAGTGGCTAGTGAAGAAATTATGTAGTGGGCAATGAATATTGTCAAATATTCTTTCTGGAAGTTTACTAGTAAAATAGAGGACAGAAGATATATTGAGGGTTAAAAAGTGTGTGTGTGGGGTGTGTGTGTGTGTGTGTGTGTGTGTGTGTGTGTGTGTGTGTATGCTCAGATGTGGGTGTGTGTTTAAATGATAGCAGAAACCTGAGCATTTTCCAGTGGTAAAGAAAAGGAATCAAAAGACAAGAAGAGATTTAAGGTGATAGAGAAGAGATGATTGATGAATGATGAAATGATAGATGTTTCAAATTTTGGTTTTGTAGTGAATTAACTCAATGCCTGGCACATAGTAGATGTTTAAAAAAATGTTTTGTTGAGTGCTTGATCTTTTCACTCATAGAGAGGGGTACCAGAGATGTTTGGACTTGGTAGCAAGAGAAACTGGATTAGATATTTTAGACTTGCAGAAAAGGGATTTGATAGTACATTGAGGGTAAAGAATAGATATCATAAGAATGAGGCTATAAGGATCAGGGATAGAGGGAAATGTCAAGTATGGGAATAAAAAGAAAAGTGAAAGTCTGTACTCTCGAACAACTTTTATTTTATTGGAGGAGCTTCCAATGTATAGTAGTCAGAGTGACTCAGTGGAATCAACATGAAAATATGCCGACTATTGTTGGATAGAGGGAGATTTCCTTTTGGCTGTCAGTGATTTAGGATGACAGGGATAAAAGAGGAAGAATGTTTGAGAGCAAATTTGGATATTCTAGTCATGAGGCAAGAAGAGCAATGAATAGAAAGAAACTTGCTGAATAAATCAAACTCAGGGTTCCAATTAGAATATGTGTGTTGAAACTTTCATTAAATCAGTCCCTCAGGTGGCTTCCAGTGGTTTGATAGCAGCCGAACAGTTCCTGGGGTTACATTGAACAAATGTTTACTTAGCACCTAGTCTCATAAAAAGCACTGTGGGGGAGAGGTGTGTACAGCTAGTATTTATTCTAAGTTCTGGGCTTCTGACTCAAGAGAACAGAGAGTTAACACTATTGAATTGCATCTTCTAGGTGTTTAGGTAGGTCAATCTATCCAAGTGTTTGTCTCTGAAATCTTCTGCTATCATGTTAGTTAAGTGTCCTAAGTTGCTGACTACATTTGCCAGTAACCAATGAATGAATGAACCATTAATTTTTCCAGGACACAGAGAGGTATAGGGACTAGACTTGTGATTAAGTTAAGTGACTTTCCTGGGATCATATTGCCAGGATATTTTTAGGGGCAGGACTTGAACCTAAGTTTCCTTGGCTCTGATGTTAGGTCTGTTGTCGCTATACTGTGGCTGCCATCTCTTTTGGTCTCTGTCCTTGTCTTTCTCCTCTGTCTCTGTCTCTATTTTTCTGTGTTTTTTCTGCCTCTTTCTGTCTCTCTTCTTTCTCTTATCTATCTGTAGTATGAAATCTTGCTTTAGCAGGGAAAATATGATTTGTCTTTGCCATTATTCTCATTATAATTGTTATTTTTTACCTAAGGAGTCAAGACAAAATAGTACAGTGGAAGAAGATTCGGAAGGAGACAATGATTCTGAAGAATTTTATTATGGAGGGCAGGTAAGCAAGAAAATCGTTCAAATCCATTGCTAATTTTGGTATCTTGAGTCATATTCTTGAGATTACAAGTAGAAATATCATTGTATTGTGAATTTTAAGGGCTGGGGGTCCTTTCTTGGGCTTTTTATACATTAGGAAAGCCACATAACCCTTTTATGCAAGGTTTATGATCCTGTCCTTTCTATAAGCGTTGCTGTATCAATTGAGCTAGCAGGAGAATAGGAGAGCCAATTCAAATAAGCTCTTATTGTTAAATTTTCAGTGTATTTATGCCTTAGAAATTGGCAATCACTACAAATCAAGGATTAATTTATTATTTTTTTGATTGTCTAGACTTAAAGAAGTGATGGAGAAAATGTTAATAGTGCACATTAAACCTAAAAGTGAGCCTGTATACATTTCTATTTTGGGAAGCTCTTTGTTAAACATTTACCTGCAGACCCCTGGATGGTAGATAACCAAATTTACTGATATTCATTAAAATTTTTACTGAAAAAAGGCATACCCCTTTAAGACCTAGGAAGAAATGATAATTATATTGGCATTTTGTGTTGAGCTTAGGTTGCAGTCTCAGGATCTTATCATCTGGGTTGTGTTCTTAGTTTATTTCTTTTCTTAACTAATCGCGTACTCCTTTAAATTGAGGCCTCATTAGTTCATGATAGCCTTTAGGATCTGGCAGTGAATTTGATTAATTTCACAAGTGTGAATTACACACCAGTCAATTCAGGCTCCCTCACCATATACATAAGCTTGCAATAAAGAGATAGGGATTGAATTTTAGAAACACAGCTATGAACAGAATATTAGTAATAAATTTTGTAATGGTTTTGTATTTGTGCACTTTGACTAACTCCTATTAAATCTTGCTCTATAATGGCGCTATTCTTTGCTCACTTAAAGTTAATGAAAGAAAAAAGCATACAATAATAGAATTGTAAAACAATATTTAAAGTAAGATTTGGGAGAATATTCTTACAATTTCAATCTTAGGAACTGACATAAAGGTATAGCTGGAGTCTGGGATAGAGAACGTAGAATATCAAAGTATAAAACTTCTTCTGATTTATAACAATGCAAATATGTACTTTATTGATGTCCTCTTGCTGAAACTAAAGGCTATTTAAGCCAATAAGTCAGGTTAAAGTATTGGTGTACCACAACTCTAGATATTTTTTCTTTTTAAAGAAATTAAAGATTGTATGACTGTTACTTCTGTATAGACATTTTGCAGCTAGGAAATGAAAATGCCTTTTTTTCTGTCTAGAGATTTGTGGAAATTTTCTGACATTTTGTTATACTCTGTGTTTTATCTCCTACTCAAATTCAACTTTTGGAGATCAAAGTAATCTTTAAATATTTTATAAAAAGCACTGAATTATTCTACACTCTTTGTGTCTTTAAAAAATTCAAAGCAAATCTAGTGCTGAGTTATTTTCTTTCTATATCAAGCAGATGCAGAATATTGAAGTAGATCCATATAGTACATTGAGGTGACAAGGTGATTTGTCTAGCAAACCATTTTTATTCATGATTATTTTGGTTTCTCCAACATCCAAATACCAAGTAATTTCTAAATCAGTCATTTTCACTAGGTGAACTATGATGGAGAACTTCACAAACACCCACAGCTGGAAGCTGATTTGACAGCAGTGAGAGAAATATATGGGCCTCATGCAGTTTCTCTCAGGTACACTATAATTTTATTGAATAAAATTGAAATTAATACTTGGCTGAGCATAGGGATTTTCCTTGATGTTTTATATATGGAAATTTGCCTGGAGTGAACTTTTTAAGATGTTGCGTAATGAAATATTTCTCATTACTGTCTTCACAAATTCCTGAGGCTTGCATTTTGTTTTGAGACTACTTCTTTGTGATAGGATATCCATCATCACATAATGTAGGTTCATAATGTAGGTTATTTCAATTGCTTAATGCAATTAGTCATTTAGAGGCACTGACTTTGTGGGTCTTCTGGCCCAAGTTTGACAATAATTGATTATTGTAATTTACTTGGCGAATTGGATACATACCGATTTCATACATTATGTCTTGTCTTTCATAAACTAGAAAAGTTAATGATATGTAACAATTAGCTGCATGTTTCAGTGGATAGATACATGGTCTTGGTTTGGAGTCAAGAAGACTCCAGGGTTCAAATCCTGCCTCTTACATGTAGTAAGTATGTGGTCACATGTTCTTAGCTTTTGAGTGCCATATACTACTCTCTGTGGTTGCAGGTGACCAGCTGACAATTTACATGAAGGGAAGGTTCTACCCAAGGATTTCCTATACTGATGCAATATGAGCCTGGCACACAAAAAAGTAATTTATATTCAAATTACATTGTTAAGGGTGATACAGCAATTAAAGAAACACATTTAAGTAATGTGTTTGAAAGAGAACATAGTTTGCTTTGTGGTTTATGAGTAAGTTTTGTTGACAAATACTGTTTTCTTCCTAATAGAAATGAAAGACTAAATCTTTATTCAGCTTTCTGAGTCCATTTGAGAAAATTCTCTGATTAATTCAGAGTGGTAGTAAGGATAGATTACCTTTTAGTTAGGTCAGTTACTGACCTCAGAGTAACTGTGAGGTTTCTGGAATACCCTGCACCATTGAGATTTTTCCCTTTTAGATTTGGGCTGGGAAAGAAAAGCATTAGGGAATTAGGCACTGAGAAAGAGTTCTTCATTTCTATAAATTCTCTCCCCCAAAGACTCAGGTTTTTATAATTGTTCCAGTGAAAGGAAATGCTGATTAATTAAAACTACAAATAACTTCCAGTGTTAGACTGAGACTATGGCAATGTGAGAATTATTTGTTCAAGAAATCTCTACAATCACTTCCAGCTCTAAATCTCATGTTCCTATAAGTTAGGCTGTAGCTTTTACACAGCTGAATTTTCTTGGGAGAGATTCTACTCCTAAGAAATCACTCCCACCTATGGACAAATGGGCATTTGAACAGTATGCAACTGGTTACTTACTATGAATTAGTTAAGTGCCCAAATGACAGCCACTGTGACAGATGTGTTAAATACAAAGACAGAAATGGAGTAGTCCCTGCACTTGAGAAGTTTACATTCTGTTGGGGGATTTATCGTGAAAACATCTAAGAAAACATGAAGTAAATTAATTATGCAAAATAACATAAGGTAGTTTAGAATAAGTATTACCAACAGGGATCTCCTCTAAGAAGATAGAGGTAGAAGGGCAGCTAGGTGGTGCAGTAGATAAAGCACTAGCCCTGGAGTGAGGAGGACCTGAGTTCAAATGTGACCTCAGATATATAACACTTACTAGCTGTGTGGCCCTGGGCAAGTCACTTAACCCCAATTGAAGAAGAAGAAGAAGAAAGAGATAGAAGTAGGCATTTAAGGAAATAAGGATTCTAGAAGGTTAAGATTGAGGCATGAGGGAATCTACAGAGACACAGCAACAGGGGATGGAATATCCTGCATGAAGAACTGCAAGCAGAGCAGTTGTATATAGAGTCTAGAAAGATTGTCTGAAACTAGACTGTGTGTGACTAAAAATGCCAAAGAAAGGCATTTGTGTTTTAAGAGGTAATAAGTCAGATAGGTACTATACATTCATTTTTGCAGCTATGGGGAAGACAGATTAGAGATGGGAAAGATTTAATTTTTTTTGACTCAAGATGATTTAGGATGGAAATACATCTACCATCTAATTTGCATTATTTAATGACCATGACTTGAACATTACAAAGAGTATTAAAGTGTTATACAAATTTACTAAAGTAAAACAGTAAAAGACAGGTACGCTGTAGAGGAACCTGTGCATTTAATGGCACTAAGGTTTAGCGAAAGAATCATTACGGACACCAGTTTGTTATATGGTACAACTTCATTTTATGGGACATGAATAGTAATAGTGCACATGAACCCAAGAGTCACATTCAGATATATCAAGAGTACAATCCAAATACCTGGCTAATGAGAAAATACATTTAAACTAAATTGTGCAAGTATAACATTTTATTATAATGGTGTTAGATGTGTAAGGATTCTAAGCAGTGAGGTCTAGCATGTACATGTAAGAGAGGGGAGAGATTTGAGATAGGGAAATCCGTTGAGGGGCAGGAGAGGATTGGTGAGCACTTGAGTTAGCATCATAGATATATAAGTAGAGAAGAGACATTCAAGAGATGCGATGTAGGTAAAACCAATGAGATGTGGTAGCCCGTGCACACCCTCACTCACACACACACACACACACACAGGGGGAGAGAGAGAGTGAGCATGAGAATATTGAGAATGACTTTGAGGTTATAAATGTGGCTGACTAGTAGCATTGTGCTGCCCTCCACAGAAAGTTAAGAAAGAAATTAAGAAAATGGATAGGTTCTGAAGAAGGAGGTGGGATAATGAGTTGTGGAAACAACTATATATTGGTCTGTGAGCTGTCTTGTGTTTTTTTTTTTTTGGACAGACCGAGGCAATATCTGGACTTTATTCCCATCCTCCTTTTTTGAAAAATTAATTAATTTGCTTTTAGTTGTCAGCATTCACTTCCATAAGCTTTTGAGTTTTAAATTTTCTCTCCTTCTCTCCTTTCACTCCCTCCTCCCTAAGATGGTATGCAATCTGATATAGGCTCTATTTATACATTCATGTTAAGTATTTTTTCACATTAGTCATGTTGTAAAGAAAAATTAGAACCAATGGGAGGAACCACGAGAAAAAAGAAACAAAACAAGACAACAACAACAAAAAGAGCAATAGTGTGCTTCGATTAGCACGCAGACTTCATAGTTCTTTCTCTTGATGTGAACACCATCTTCCCACATGAGTCTTGTGGAATTGTCTTAGATCTTTGTATTGCTGAGAGGAACCAAGTCTATAAAAGTTGTTCATTGCACAGTGTGGCTGTTAATGTACACAATGTTCTCCTGGTTCTGCTCACTTCACTCAGCATCAGTTCATAAAAATCTTTCCAGGTTTTTCTTAAGTGTGCCTGCTCATCATTTCTTATAGCACAATAGTATTCCATTACATTCATATACCACAATTTGTTCAGCCATTCCCCAGTTGATGGGCATCCCCTCAGTTTCCAATTCTTAGCTACTACAAAAATAGCTGCTATACATTTTTTTGTACATGTGGGTCCTTTCCCCATTTTTATGATCTCTTTGGGATACAGCCCTAGATGTGGTATTGCTGGGTCAAAGGGTATGCATATTTTTATAGCCTTTTGGGGATAGTTCCAAATTGTTCTACAGAATGTTTGGCCTAGACATACCAGATCTTTAATTGTATTGTAAAGCAGCAGTCATCAAAACTACTTGGTACTGGCTAACAAATAAAGTGGTGGATTAGTGAAATAGGTTAGGTATACTAGACATAATAGTTAGTGACTATAGTAATCTACTGTTTGATAAATCCATAGACTCCAGCTTCTGGGATAAAAACTCATGCATTTAACAAAAAGTGCTGAGAAAACCGGAAAATAGTATGGCAGAAACTAGGCATATCTTATACCCTATACCAAGATAAAGTCAAAATGGGTACATGATTTAGGTATAAAGGCTGATACTATAAGCAAAGTAGGAGAGCAAGGAATAGTTTACCTGTTAGATCTATGGAGAAGGGAAGAATTTATGACCAAACAAAAGATAGAGAACATTATGAAATGCAAAATGGATGATTTTGATTACATTAAATTGAAATGTGTTTGCACAAACAAAGCCAGTGCAACCAAACTTAGAAGGGAAGCAGAAAGCTGAGAAACAATTTACAGCCAGTGTTTCTGATAAAGGCCTCATTTCTAAAATATATAGAGCTGCCTGTTTTTTATACATTTATATAAGCGTTTTAAGATTTGTAAATTGCTTTGCAAATACCTTTGCGTTTTATCTTCACATAAACCCTGTGAGTTAGGGCGTTATTATTATCCTTAGTTTTCAAATGGGGAAGCTGAGGGAGACAGACATAGGTTAAATGACTTGACCACACAGATAGTAAGTGTCTGAGGCTGCATTTGAACTCATGTCTTTTTGTGTCCAGATCCAGAGCTGTATCCATTTTACCTTTGTCTACCTCAGTTCCTCATCTTTTAATGGGAATAATAGTACCTACCTCCCAGGGTTATTGTGCAGATCCAATCGGATAATTTTTTTAAGCACTTTGCAAAATTCAAAGTGCTATATAAATGCTAGTTGTTACTAATTTACGGAACTTATTGCCTCATGTAATAGGGCAAATGAGATGAAGAGTAGACAGACATAGAGGAAGAGGTGCCTGTAGTGATATTGCATGAAACTTACATTATTTGAGTCAGACAAAGGAAGATTGAACAAACACACCGTGCAGTTGGTTTATTCTGTACAAGAAACTTATCAAGGAAATAGATGATAAAGGTAGATGAGCGATGAACAACTTAAGAAGGAGGGCAAAATTTGTGAGACAGTAATAAATTACAAGCAAAATATATCCTGAAGTCAGAGAGCAGAAGGGATTAAAATTGATTCCATTCTATATTAAGTTTCTTCCCAACTACAAATCATCCGATCATTCCCATTTTAAAATTCTATTCTTCTAGTCCCATGGATAGTGAATAGGAGCCATGAAAAGTTGTATCTAAGTCTGAGCACTTTTGAGTCGAGAAAGGAGAAATCTATGAACAGTATGCAGTAAAGAAATAACTGTCTAGTTTCATTAGAATG